GCATTAATAAATCTAAAAGGTTTTGGACCCCAATTTCTATCATCTTCCTTTAACAGTATTGGGCAATGATCAGAAATACTTTTGGGAAGACCCCATTGCTTAAATAAATATTCCTCAAACCGCCTATTATCCAAGAGGAACCTATCTATCCTACTCCATCTATCCCTATCTTGAGCATTGCACCAAGTAAAACTTCTACCCATCATAGGCAGGTCCACTAGGTTTAACTGATCAATTAAACCATTAAAATCATTTATACCTCTCTCCCTTCTTGAGCATCCTTTTCTTTCACTGATATACCTAATTTCATTAAAGTCTCCACCCAAACAACAAGGATTAGAATAATGTGTTTTTAATCTACCCAGTGAATCCCATAAGAACCTCCTTTTAACTCCATCATTTGGGGCATAAATATTAACTATAGTGCATTCAAAACCCACACCAGCAGTTCCTGAAAGTAGGACAAAATTTCTTGAGCTGCAACACTCCTTAAGCCTGAATGTATTCGAATTCCAAATGCATAGCAAACCACCTGCAGTACCTTTAGCATCTACTCCCATGAACTCCATCTTCTCAAATGGCCACATCAACTTAATGAACTCTTCCTCCATGCTACCTCTCTTGGTTTCTTGTAATAAGACTATGTCCACTCCACCCTCTTTTATCATTACCTTTATCTTCCTCTTTTTTTCTAGTCTTCTGAGACCTCTTACATTCCATGTCATTATCTTTATAAGGAATCATATGTTACACCTGCACCCCTGCATCATCTATTTAGGCATCAACAGCCATTCCCCTACCTTCAATCTTTTCCAAATCCTTGCTTTCCATATGAACAATTCTTTCTATAGCTTCAACTTCTTTCCCTTCGAAGTTTATGCCAAGTGACTGCCCCATCTGGACTGTTGCCTTAGCTTCCTTAATCAATCTTCTGCTTCTACTACTTGACTCACTATTAATTGATAAAGAGTTTAAAAGAGCTGCAGCAGTGGCTCTGAAAATAGCACCTCTATTAAAACTCTGCGGCAACACTCTTCCCCTCTGTAAAGGCAGTCACTTATCTTTTAACAAAACTCCTCTATCTCTCCTCTTATTTCCCCTTTTTCTACTGATAACCCTTCTTTTATCCTTTACACAGTTGCTTTCTCCATCATTCTGGGCTGCTGATGAGCCTACTCGATTGAACTGAGTTTGGGCTACATAATCACTCAAATTTGACCAGGAATCATCATTGGGCCTACTCTGATTTGCTTCACTTTGGACTCCCTTCAACACTACTTGTAAATTAATCTTGGGCCTCTCCATTACTAGCCCACTCAAGCTTTTCATAAATCCTAGTGTGAAAACATTGGCATCAATATTTTGAATGCTCCCAGCTACCTTTTCTCTTGGGCTTTCCACAAACTTCAACATTCCAACATTACCAGAGCCCCCACCTTTTGAGAATTCCAAGCCTTCATCTATTGGCCTTAATGATGATGATACCCCCATGCTTCTCCTTCTTTCCAGCTCAGATTTACCTCCCTCCAATGTGTCCTTAACCCTACTTGCCACTTCAGCACTAAGTGACACATCATCACCACCTTCACCGTCCTTTGCTGGTTCCCTCTGTCCTTCAATGGTGCCGGATAACATGTCCTGCCTACTGTCAGAATTTGAATTCATATTCTCCTTAATCTAAGCACTGCCTAACCTTGTGGACATCTCTATTGGGAAGCCTATCTCTTCACACACTCTAACTGGATAGAAGTTCCCTTTGCATTCAAGTGTTACTACTTTGTTGATGAACTCTCTGCTTTTTGTGATTATCCTTACTTTACCCCATTGAAAAGAGACTGGGTTGTTTATATCCTCATCAAGATGAACTACTTCCCCCCAAACTCCCCCAATGTCGTTAAAAGTTCTTCTGTTCCACAGATTAAAAGGTATGCCAGAGCATAATAACCAAACACACCTTTCACTTTTAACCATTCTCCTCTTATCTCATTCCTCTATTGATATACACCACTCGTATACCCACTCCTTCAATCTTTCTTTCCATTCCTTCATTTGTTCCATAGACTTGAAAGTTAGCAGCGCACATCTGAGCTCCCCTCTTTGACATTCACATCCTTTATGTTAATGTAAAATGTAAATTGTAAAATGTAAACTACCACCCACCTACCACCTCCACTACCACTCACTCCACCTACCACCTCCACTACCACCTACACCTACTACCATCTTCTCCTCTATATATAGGAATTGTAATATACAGAAATTAATCAACAATCAATCAATAATACATGTATATTAACACTCACCTTGAACATGGTATCAGAGCTAGGTTAACAACCTAGTCATTCTGCTCCCCCGGCGGGCGGCAGTCTCGCCTTGGCCGCCCGCCGGACCTCTACACATACCTTCACTCCGCTGCCACAAATTCCATCGCAGGTCCGTCTATGTTGTAGCTTTATCTGCATTGTCGTCGCCGGCGTTGGAGGTCAATTTCCGGCCACACCTCCTGTGGTGTCCGCTCCGCCGGTTTCAGCTCCACCACCGGCCACTCCACCATCGGCGACCGGCGACCGGCGACCAAGCAGAGCCGATTCATGGGTGTGGTTGATTTCCACAGTATGTCATCATCTATTTGCATGATCAAATCTGCATCTTCTTATAAACCCCGTTGCTCCTCATTTGAAAGAAATCAGTCAAGGGTCCCTTGTATGGCATCCACGATACCCATTTCAACAAGTCAAAGAAGAAAGTCGACAACGGCTGACAGGAGACCAGAGCCGTTTCCAGGGAACCAAACACTCCTCCTCATCTTCACTTTCTCTCCCCCCAACCAAACCCATCAGAGACCGAAAGACTAAGCTCACAAGGCCCTTACCATCCATCCTCGCCACTTATCAACTTTTCTCTCTCTCTCTTCCCACAGGTGCCACCCTCTTCGCCATCGTCCCACGCACCCTCGTTGCAAGCAACAGGAGCACCACCGCGAAGCTCTCCTCCACTGCCTCCGGTCTCCGCTGCAGCACCACCAGCTCTGCCACGGCCGATGCAGCAGTTTCTGGTAGAGTTCGAGTTGCTTTTCTAGAGAGAGAAAAGTTGATTTGTTGCTCCCAGAGCTCACGCTTGCCGGAGCCATACTCGACTTCTTCGTCCCAAACGTCGCTCCCGACACCGCCGGCGACAGGGGCCTAATTTCCACCCCACCACCCACCGGCTGCGACGCCGACACAAACGACGAGATCGACCTCGCTGCCACATCAAAAACCAGCGTCACCAACGGCGACATCGCCCATCACTGCGGCTGATTCACTCCGGCCTCCCCAGCGTCTGCCTCTCCACCTCCGGCCCCGGCGCCACCCCCCCTAGTCCGCGGTCTCGCCGACGCCATGCTCGCCCGCGTCCATGTCGTGGCCCGTTACTTTTCCAGCATTTTCATGCTCGATGCACCAACTGTTGCTGCCTCTGTTGGGGGTTCCCACCTCTTCTGGCACCTAGCAGACCCGGCGTCCCTTGACCAACATACACCTGCTGAGGAGCAAGTCTAGGTGTCCCAGGTTGCCCTCCAGGCATCCCTGTAGGTCAAGGCGCTATTCCACTTGGCCCTCCCTGGTCCCGTATGCTTCCCTTCCCTTTCTTGGTCTTGGACTCTCTCTCTCTCTTTTTGGAGCTACACAACATACCCAACTTTCTTTTTATTATTTTATCACACAAGGGAGACAGCCCCATGTGAACCATTCACACGGTTTCACACATTCACTTCCCCAAACAAAAACAAACAATATATATATATATATATTCAAATAATGCATCATAAACCCAAAACCATGTGCACCCACATTCTTTCACACTTTTGCACCCACGCTCTTTCCCACTTTTCTTTTATTTAAATATATATATATATAATATATTTCCACTACTCCTACTTTTATTTTATTTTATTTTATT